TTGTTCAAGACCTATGTGTTCTGTCATTGTAACGTATTAATATTCCACTATGGTTTCATGAGGTTTTTTTTTCTTCTTTTTATCAAACAAAGTTTGTATATTATTTTTCTGTATAAATGTCCCAACGTTGATTGGTAATACCCTTGTTTGTTTTGAATTTGATATAAACAATATTAGTTTAGCCCCAATGGTTGTGTAAAGGACCCCAACCTTCTCTGATGATGTGGTGAGTTCCTCCTCAAAATGTGAAGGGAATCAGAATCATTTTTAGTATGACGATAGATATGTTTGCAATGATCAAAGAGTTATTATTCTTTGGCATGGGTGTTTCTAAAAGGGAGTTCTGTGTATCTTTTTACTAGATATCCGTAACTTTTTCTCTTGGTTTGGTTGTTCTCAGCATAACTTTGTTAATCCTTTTGGAGGACTGCAAGTACTCACAGAGGCAGGCACACCACTTATGTACCCCAGTAGATAGAAACTATACTTGTATTCAAATAACCTTCATTTTTTTTTTTTCCACATGCGCAACCTTGGCTCAACTTCTTAGCATTTTTTGTAATCCATTAAATGCTGTCAAGCAATTTCATCTTACTCTCTTGCTACACACGGAGGCTTCTTAAATTATCTGGTCTCTCCTAATTAGTGTCATAACAATACTTATTTAGGGAATGAGGAGCCTTCACATGTTTGGAACTGTATCAAAGCTTCCGACATTATGGTGTCATGAGCATGGCCTTCACTTCAGTCCTCGCAAGGTCACTGTTTCTACTAATGGGCTTGTCCCCATTGAAAACAATTTCTCCTGAGTCCAATTGTGCTTAGCTGTTAATTTTGAATGCTATACGACGGCTGAGGTATCTGTATTTCCAGCGTGATTTTGATGGAACAAGAAATAATGCCCCTCAATTTGTAAGATAGGGAGGATTGCCCCTCCTTTTGATGAAGTTATGTGGGTCCGAAACAGATCATGCCACTTAATCCAAAGTATAAACTAGGGTTACTTCTTTGAGACCCTTCAAGAGGAACTTCGTTTCAAAAACATAATTACAAAGTTTTTTTGAATATGTTTATTCTTGTAGGCATCATGACAGTTAGATAAACCTTTTTTATCTGTACATTGATAGGTTGAAACAACAGTCATGTTGCTATTGCTGCTTTTGCTAGTTTAGTTTGTGATCCCATGATTAGTGCAAAACTATATAGTCGTCAGCTTTGTCCGCCTGGGGTCAAGTTATCAACCTCATCATTGATGTAAGGAGGGGGGGCTTTTGCACTAGAAATCTGGAATGCTTGTATGATTGTCTTAATCAGACAATGTGTAAACTCCTTGGGAGTGTTGACTTTCACCATTTACGTCAAGTAACTGGTGTAAGGGGTAGGACCTGTTCAAATTTGCTACCAATCCAACACAAACTACCCAAATTAGGTAAGTGATCGTATTACCCCAAATTTGATGACACTATTCACACTAAACCAATTGTGTCACACTATTCATCTATTATAAAATATATTTTATTGCTTTATTTTTGTTATTATTTTTAATTTGTATTTATGTTTAATTTGATTATTATTTATATAATATTTAAATCTAAATCATAATAATTATTAAATTCAAAAAATTAAAAAAAATTAAAAAAAAAATTTTATTCAATTGCAATAATTAACCTACAATCATTCAAATAAACATTAACACTAATTTAAAAACACTAACATTAAAAGAAAACCAACATAAACTAAAATATAGTTAGTGATTCCGGTAGATTGGTTGCAGATCCTCTAAATATCACAATATAAAAAAATTAGAGCTATTATAGACAATCAAAGTACGAAGGCTCACATGCTCTTATCAAAATGCTTAATCGTCATTTGTGAAAATATACGAATTCGGAAGTTAAATTACTATCCACTAATGGATTTCTCTTTTGAGTTGTTTGTGTTCTTTTTTTTTTTTTTTTTTTTTTTTTGGATGGGCCTTATATTAGATGTAATTTTTTTTTATATTAAATGTATGTTTATTTGATTAAATAATGCTTAAGTTTATTAATATTAGTATAATTTTCAAAGTTATTATTATGTTAATAAATATTATTCCTAAGATTTAATTACTATATACAAAATAATTAGTGAATAGAATTATTGTTGATTATTAAGAGAAAGAAATAAATAAAATATATTCTTTTGTGTCTATTTGGTGTACATGATTTGATATACATAGTGAAATACACCAAAAGTAAACTACTTTGGTGTGAACGTTGCACCAATTTTGATGTTTGTGGTTGTAGATGATTCTTTGATGTGACATGGGTTGTAATTTTTGGTTAACCAACATATTTCTTCTTGTTTGCTTTTGCTGAGTTAGATTTTATTGATCACCTTGTTGTTAATCATGCTCCTTATTCTTTAGCAATTTTGAATTGATGCCATCAATTCATCCTCTTTCTTGTTATGTTGTTGGATAGAATTTTATTACTTCTGATCATCTGTCCATGTGTAGAACCAATGATTGTTGATTTGACTTTTTGCCGGTAGGGTGTACATCATGGAAGTAAGGAGACAAACCATGGGATGATATACCGACTTCTGCTTCCTCAGCACTGAGAATGTAAGATGTTAGGTCCAATTTTCGCGAACTGCACCGGGTAACTTTGCCTGTTAGCTTTTTAAGTAGGATGGTTATGAAGTTTCATGTCTAGTTACCTGACAATTTCATAGTTGAAGCTCAACTCTTCATTGTAAGAGTCCTGAAGTATACTCTCTGAGCTTAAGATTTTGTTTTTTTAGTTTTTCTGGTGTATAATTTTTTACACATATCTCTCGGTAATGTTTTCAATTCTGATGACTTCATCTATTGCTTTCACTTCTCCTTTCGAAGTAACATTATTTTTATTATAGTTGCAGGGCACCAATTTCGCAGCTAATGAACATATTAGTGTTCCAATCACATGTTTCCCTATAGAATACCCGCTTCAACGGGCTGGTAAGCATTCACTTCCATTTTCACAGCTCTAATCCTATCAGTGTATCTGCCTAGTGTTTAACGGCAGTTCGATTCTTTTTGCACGATGGTAATCTGGATCTTGCCAAGTCAATTTTCTTTGGCCTAGACTAAAGTATGCTAAATTAACTATCTATACACCTTTTTTTCGGTGGTCACATCGTTCCTTTCTGAATAACATTATTTTGCATTTAGCTGGCAGGGCACCAATTTCAGCTAATCAAATTCTGGTGTTCAGGTACATTTTCCCCTGGGAATACCGTTTCAATTGGCTGGTAAAGGCATGCACGTCGTTCTTTACCGCTCTATTCCTGTCAGGTTGTATCTGTCATATTGAAACTCACATCTGACCTCTTGCCTCACCCGATAGTGATTTTGATCTCTTGCTGGTGGATTTTTTTCTTTTTGTCCACTTATGAAAGAATGATATGGCAAATAGCTTAGTCTCCATCTTTATATAGGATAAGTCCGTTAGTCCTCCTTGGGAAAGCAATGTTGTCTGCACACTTAATGGCATTTCCAGTACAATTTAGATTTCCGTTAATCCTATCTCTAATACTTTCGAATGTGGAGAATTCGTAATTTTTATGACCCTTTTTAATTAGTAAACTAATTGTTGTGTCTTCCAATAATTACTTTACGGACAACTTGTAATTCTCTCATCAAGAGAACCTAGATACCCACTCAAACTTGTCGGTGTGCAATCAAAACATCAAATTTCATGGAAATTCTATTTTTCATTGAAACTCTGTTCAAACTCTGCGGGGGTAGTGCTTCATTGCTGAATTAACTGTTCTGAACTTATTATGGATTGTTGCATTTTGTCTGATAGCAAGGAAGTATACTCCAAGTTGCTTGAACTTGGTCTGTTTCGCAAAAAGTTGGTGCTCAATGAAATAGAATCCCTTACATGTTTACTCTGTTATCCGGAATGCCTCGTTTAGTGGATTCTTCTTCCTACTGATAGTCTCATGTGCAATAACATTCAATTTATTTCTGTATTAAACTAACTTTGATCCCAAATGTTCTGTGTTTTATGTGAAAAATCTCAGCCATATTGTACGTTGTGAGACTAGAGGTTGTTAGGCAAGAATAGAGCTCTGTAAGTTATGTTTGTTATCTGATATTACATGTGAGGCTGATTTACTATTAAGTTTATAGAATATGAACAAAAACCGACAAAATTGATTAGGAAGGAACAACAGTCCTGTTGCTATGCCTGAATTTTGCTAGTTTATGTTTGTCTGCCTGGGTCAAGTTATTTAGCTCATCATTGATTTATTTGAAAAAAACGGGGGGGTGGGCCGCTCTTTTGTCATTGTCTTATCAGACAAATTTGTGTAACTCCTTAGGAGTGTTGACTTTGACCATTTACAGGTCAAGTAAGATCGGTTGTAAGGGGAAGGGAAACTGCTCAAGCTTCCAACGATCCTACTGGACCATCTCAATGGAGACATCCAGCCCTAGTCTCTCCAGTTTTTTGCCCCTCTTTTACTGCTAATCCCTATCCAGTCGCTCACCCAGTTCAGCATACAACAAAACCACAGACAGATTCTTCTATTTCAGAATCAATTCAAGCTGCTCCCTTTCCCACACCACCGGTCCAGACAGCTCCTTTCCCACCCAAAACACAGATTTTGTCCCGTATCCCAGACTGCTGCGGCCTGCACTGCTCATCCTCTTTCACCCTTGGCCAAGGAATTTATGCCTTGTCATGTGGTGCAAGGTATGTGTTCTTCTTCAAATCTATTTTAAAAGTTCCTTCCCTGTATAAAGTTTTAAGTTACGGTACCCCTTGAGAAAATGTATACCTTATTAATATTTTACTTGACCTCTTCTGGCCTTTTTAGTGATTGTTGTGCTATTTTCTGTCCATTATGGAACACTATAATGAACATGCATAAGTTGGTTGAATTGAACTATTACCAATTATAATGACTTTAATCCAGGTTGAATGAGGGCTCTAAATCTGTGTAATTCATCCATTTTCTTATAGGTATATTTGTAATATTTTTTGCTGGATGCTCATTGGTAACTTTGGTCAATCTCAAACCACTGTTCCTATTCAGCCTGCCGGTAGACTGACTTCACCGGCTTATACCTTTGGTAATTAACATTTAGCTCCATGATCACATATAAATTTTGTTTAACTTTACTGTTTGTAATCTGATTTTTAGGTTTTAAAATCATAGGTCCAGTAATTCCAGTTGGTCGACTTGCTCAGGCTTCCAATGCTCCAGTTGGACCATCATCTAATAGTTCTACAAACCAAGCCTGTCAATATCGACCATCTTCTAATAGATCTGCATACAAAACCCCTCCAATTCGACCATCTCGTACACCACAGTCCCAGACTGATTTGTCAGACCTGCATGCTCTTGCACAAGGGACTAAAAATTTTCCAACCAATCGCATAAAGCAAGGTATTTTTTTTCAGGTTTCTAAGATCTATATTTGTTGTTGACTTCCCTTAGTTTTGTAAGTTTGCTTCCTTCCATATACAACATTTCTTCAATTATAAGCAACGATACCCTTCTAATAGACCCATATTTTATAGTGGCTGGCTATTTCTATTTCACACTGAAAAATTATAATAGACTAGCACAAATAGGTTGGATGGGAATGGGATCAGGTTCTGATCATGACTTCAATCTGGGGCAAGTAAGGTCCCTCAGATTATTTGTTGATCTTATTTTGTCTAAAGATTGTTTACCATTGTACATCACTGAGAACTCGCATGGCAGCAAAAGGATCTGTTTTGGCTTATGTACCTTGGTTTATCATCTCCAAGCTAAGCTGGACATCTAAATGCTTATTTAAGTTTGCCACAGCCAGATTTCCCATGCATCTAGATTTTGGGAATAGACATTAAAGCTTTGTTGTTGCAGAAAATCCGGCTAAACCTAATACCTCAGTGTCCCTCTAATGTTTGTAATGTTAAGGATGATATGAATGCTTGTCATTACAATAGCCATGACTGTAATTACACTTATGCAGATTTCAACGAACCTCCTCAACGAAGTGGAACAGAGTGTTTCTTTTGCAAGAGGGATCTTTCATTCACACCAGAAGCCGATTGCCCCATTTCCCAGCCAAGTATTCCTCCATCTGTTGCAGTTTTGCCATGTGGCCACTACTTCCACATTCGCTGCCTAAAGATTCACTCCTCCAGAGAAGTCTACAGATCCTCCTTGCTTTCTTTGTGACCTTGATGAGAATGCATCCTGAAGACCAATCTTTTCTCAGGTTTTTCTCTTCCATTTTTTATCTCTAATCTTAGTAGCATCAGTCAGAATATAGGAGGGAATCGGAAATGAATATTTTTTCATAGAATATAGCATCAGTCAGGATTGAAGTAGATAAAGGTTGAATATCACTGTACATAGCAAGTCAGTCTGATTCATATGATGAATAGGCTTCAAAGCAGAGTTAGAAAATTAGCAAGTGTATATAATAGTTTACACATTTTGAAGCGGGATTTAACCATTTCATTCAAATTCAGAAATTTATATCAGATTTCTTTACTATGTATTGGCTTACACAGATTTAAATGTGTTTATAATGTTTGATTTCTCTTAAATATTTAAATATGTTTTGGGTGAAAGATGTTTACGCGAAACCAATTGTAAATCTATAGGAGCCTGGACTCAAAACAAATAATATTTATATATTTTGCTGGGGTTGAGATGTTAGAATCAGAATCATACACAATTTTTAAGGAAGGTTTTCTTATGACTTTATAGATGTGAAAATTACATCAAATTTATTTGAAAGAGGTAGGTTTAGTCCAATTAAACATTATATTCCTTCAGCTTGTTGCACCTAATTAAATTAAATTATATTTTAGAATCTACCCTTTTATTTAGTACTGTATAATCGATGATTGGATAACAAAACAATAACAAATCCAATATAGAATATTATATTAATTAAGTCTATCTATTAATAACGAGTAATGCTATGCTTACTCACAATCTTACTAATTATCTTACAATCTTGAAAAATATAACGGCATAGTACGGGTACCATATGCATAGTACCCGTACTATACCGTTATATTTATCAGGATAGTAAGATTGTGAGTAAGCATAGTTTTATTGATTAATAACATCATAAAGGTAATATTGAGCTAATAATATGATTTGATTTAAGGTTGTGGAGTTAGTTAATTATATTGGTTATGTTATTAGTTAGTATTATTATTTTGAATCAATATCAACATTTATTACTTATTAATATAATGATATTATCCAATCATAAACATAAACAAAATATAAATAATATATTTATCTTGGGGATTTATTGCTAAGTGTTATTTCTTTTATTGATATAAAGGAACAATATTTTTGCACTAATGAAACTCTTTTGGACATTTCAATTATTGAAACAAAAATGTGTTATTATTATTATTTTACCGTCGAGTTGTTCGGGTCAGTTTGTGTGCATCTCAATTAATCCTTCGGTGTCTTAGAATTGTCAATCGGATAAAAGCCTCGATAGTCACTTCTATTAGGGTCTGGAGAGACTCAAACTCAAGAACTCATAAAATAGTTTTTTACTCTTTTACCATCATATTATATAATGGTGGTTTTTAAAAATTTGATTATGTGGGTTCTGGGACAAAGGGCCATTTGATAAAAAGAAGGCGTTTAACATTTATGTGGTTATTATTATAATTATAATAGTACGTGTATTTATTTTAAATTGACCCATTAAGGTAAAGTGACAAATTTATTAGTCATATATATATAAAATGGAGTCACGATGAGATTAACTAATTTTATAATTTTATTACTATGAGGAGACTATATCTTAATAAAAATGTCGCTACAAAAATTAAAATTATTATTTTGATTTCTTTTTTTTATTATCGGTGGTGTCCGGGTCAGCTTATATGTACCTTAACTAGTTTCCCATCCCCGAACAAGGCTTCCAAAACAGGGTAAACCCCCGGTCCATGGTCAACAATATTAGCAACTGTTCTTGTGATTCGAACCTAAGACCACAAGGAGAGCAAACATCTTGGTCCCAAGCCTTTACCACTTGGCCAACCCATTATTGGTTTTTTATTTCTTATTTTATGTCATGTTTTAGTAATATAGTATTAGGATTTCAATTCATATTTTAGTAGTATCGGGATTTCAATTTAGCGCTTCAATTGCCTACTTTTAAAACAGATAAAAGATCGTGTCTTGGAATCAGCAAAGATAAGTATCATTGATGGAACTGTAAATACAGTTGATGTATGGTCAATTGATATGAAGCCACAAACAATTGCCAATGGTTTTAAGCACTGCAAAATTAAGACCCCCGATGTCAACGAATTGCAAGTTACAAATAAAGTGGATGAGGAGAATAAAATAGTCATTGCGAAATTGAGTTATTAGATTTGACAACTTCACTACACTAATCAAATAGATATTAATTTCTTCATCGATCATCCAAATGAGCAACAAATCGTGTATGCTTTAACTAAAGAAGAAATCATTGTTGCAATAAGACAAGAAGAGAAAGGAAATAATCTTGAGGATGATAGTACGGAAATACAAAAAGTTTCATGCCATGAAGCTCTAAACGTGCTTGAGAAGCTAAAAGATTTTAGCTTTAACAAGAAGGTGTTCATGCTAGCGAGTTATTACGGACTCACAAGTTAAAATATGTGATAACAACTTTAAAACATAAATCATTGTCCCAAACAATTTTAGATAATTATTTTATTTCATTTTGAATCTTTAATGTAATATAATATATATTTTGTGTAATATACAGATAATTAGTACTATGTGAAGACAACTTTCTTTAAGGCGAGAATTAAAAAAATTATAATTTATTATAATATAAAGTTTATTCTTATCTATGACTATTTTAAATTAGAGCTAGAATTTTTTATAATTATATAAAATTTATTCCTATATAAAGTATAGAGATTTTACTATATATAAACTTCCGTGCTCCAAGGGTTTTGTTTGTAAGTTTAAGTAATTTGCTGTATCAAAAACTCTAAAAAATTTATATTTTCAAGAAAAGAAATACTGACTTGCGCAGAAGGATATGTTTCTTCATTCTTGGACTCTGCCTACATAATAATGTTTGGACAAATAAATCAAGACAAAAATAATTAAACAATTAATAAACAACAAGTAATTAAATAAAAACAAATATATTAAATAATGTTCGGTTGACATCACATTGGAGGAAGTGTATTGGAAACTAATGCATTTTGATACTTCTGGTAAAATAGCCAATTATTCATTTGAATGACCAAAATGCCCTTATCATAAATTTTATGTAATCTACTTCTGTTCCTTTCAAAACCAAAATCCGATTAATGGTCATGAATAAAACCCAATCACTAATACAATTATCTCTACAATAATCAAATTATTGTTTAATTAAACAAAGAAAAGAGAAAATAAATATACAAGTAATAAATTTTTATTGGATGAATGTACAAATTATATAATAAGTTTGTCTTATAAATGATTTTTCTTTGTAAATTTGTCTAATATTTTATCGATCATCATTTACTCTCCTTGTAAATATTAAAGCTATATCTAACATATTTTACAATATCATTACATAAATGGATCATTTGGCTGTATAAACAAAAATGATTGAAAGTGGTTATTTTCCAAAACATGAAATAAAAAAATGATTGAAACTTGCCTTTTTTTTTAAAAAAAGAAAAAAAAAAAAAAAAAAACATGCAGAGAACCCTTGCAAATTGGATAGGGCCCCATGAAGAGAAGCAAGCAAAAGGACGATTAGTAGACATAAAATCTTCCACAAACGCACAATCGTACGTTTAAAAATAAAGACTTGCAGGTCCCGCCACGCATTGACAATTAACACAATTTCATTTCACAACACTTCCAACTATTTATCTCTTCTTCCTCTCTTCTTCTTCATTGTTGGGAACGTGCTACCCAACACTTCAAAAAGCTTACGCTTTCCTTCTTTATTCCCCAAAAAAAAAAAAAAAAAAGCTCTTTTTTTTGAAATAGCAATATCTGAAAGAATTTGTTGGTTTGTTATTCTTCACACTCCTTGATTGCTTTTGGTCAATGGAGAACGAGAATTCTGTGTGAAGAAGACTGATTGGCTTTGACTGATCTCTCCGGCTTCCACACCTAGTTTTCTTCTGGAAGTCAAGAAGAGAGATCAGTTTAGATAGTACTATTTTCCGTTCGGTCTGTTATTTTCTGTCTGGTTCCCGCGAAATTGACAGAAGATAGCGATCACATAGTTAACTTGAGCCTTGGTTAAGCATCTTTGGTTTGATCTAAACCTACAACCCTTTTCATGTTTATCAGGTCAGCCTAGAAATTCCATGTAATTTTTGCATTCTTCAGAAATCTCTTCAAAGATATCATTTTTTTAGCTGAATTTTAATTCACCGATTCACAGCAAAGCCAATTTTCAGTTTGTTTCTCTTTGTTTTAATAATTTTTTTTAATTATTTTGCAAAATTTATTATCACCACCATAACCAACTGGTCCTCTCCAAATTTTGATTTGTTGGTCGGGACAGATAGAAAGAAGAATAGTATCATGAACTTGCGGAGTTGCGGTTGCTTTACTTTACGCGTTTTCCTGTGTTTGGTCACACTCTGGTTGGCTATTAATCACTGTCATTCGCTTTTTTGTCTTTTTCTTTTCTTTTTTATCCTTTTTTTTTGGTTTTCGTATTACTTACCTTTTCATTTCATTTCACCCACCCCAAGAAAATAGAATCCCTTTTAAAAAAATACTGGGTATTTTTGGTTTATAAACCTTATCTTCTGCTGTTTCCCTCTCTTTCAATTTCCTAGTACCCTTACATGTTTGAGCTTGAACAGGCTGCTTTACGGATAATGCTGCTGCAACTCAAAGCTTTTTGATAACCATTGAGCAAACAGTCATCATGATGCTTACCTAATGGTAATTGGGCAGGTGAAACCAGAGTCTTTTTTTTTTAATTCAGAAACGTTTAGATTGACATGTAAAAAATAATACTCTTTAATGTCACTCCGGTTGAGGGCATTCACTATTGCATACTCTGTTTGTTAATAAATACGTACAGCGATTCAGGTAAGGGAACTGAAGTTAAGGCAAGGATGGGACCTCTGGTTTAAACTTATGAATGTGGCATGGTTGAGGTGCTCCATGTGTGAATGAAGTTGAAGCAGGATATGCAACTGAATAAATGGCCTTAAGGAAAAGCTATGTGTTGAGTAGGCTGTAACGGTAACAAGCCACAGTTGATTGCATTTATCTAAGTTGTGTTGAATATTAACCCCTCGATTTGACTGGTTGGTTGCTTGGGTTGAATGAGGTTTAACCAATGAGAGCTTAGTCATTGAATGTCACCACAGGTTCGAGCCCCTAGTAGGTATCCTTGCATAGCCAAAGGAAGAACATGCTACAGACACCGATCTGTGCCGCGAACTTTGTGTAAGCCGATCTATTGGCATCTGACTCGGACTCCACGTAGGACACACCAAAGTATTCCATGAATGAACCACCTCCACTATATGAGACGACCGTCATCAGCACACAAACAGATCCAAAAATTCAATGACTTCCGTCCATAATATTATGGTACAGGGTCGCCTTTACTATGGATATGGTCCATATAATGTTAGATTAAATATTCTTTTTTAAGCACAAATTTTTTAGATAAAATAAAAGGAAAAAAAAAAAAAAACTTTGATTCTAAAGTAAAAATGTGGGGAAAACGTCACCCCCACCAGGCATTACTATGGATGCGTATCAATGACATCCAAATAGTGGAGCTAGCTTCCAGTTCTCAATGAATTTTTTTTTTTTAATTTTCAAATTTTTTTTGTGCATTTATAACAAAATGCAATGTAAGAGAGAAACTAACATGTTTTTAAACTTGCTTTGGAAGCGCCACAATTTTAACATCTTAATTGAAATTTTTTAAAGAAATTTTTTTATTAAACTACAATTTGGGTATGCTGCGGCATGCTACTATCAGACAGTCCACTATAAGATTTGTCCTGTCCATTATCTTGTTTTCAAACTTTCTGGACGGGTCCATACGAATGAATCTGCTTGGCGATCGTCCATTGTGATAATAGATAACGTTGACGATCCGTAATGACGTCTATTCACAGAATTAGTATATTTCTTTTCAACGTGACGCGTCTTAGTGGATGTCCACGTGTTCGATTAAAAAAATTTTCAGTGCCACAAATTCTGTCCTAGCATTATTGTAGGCCCAAAACCATGTTTTCTCATTCCTTAAAGACCATTTATTAACTGCAGTGTGCTGATTATAACTCTCCTATTCCGGTAAAACTTAAAGTTTTAATGATTCTATGTATTAACACTTCTACTAGAAAAAATGTTTCATCATTAAAAATCTTGATAGCCTAGTATGGCGATTTATGACCAATTTTGATTCTGGTTGGATCTTTCCTATGATTTTTCTTAATTTTATAAAATGTGAATGCAAGTGTTTTAAACACTCCGGGTATTTATGAATTGGCCATGGTCTCTGAAAGTGTTTTGGAGTATAGAATGGTAACTTCTTCTAACAGGCTAGCGGAGAGTTTAGACTAACAGAGGACACTGCTAATGAAACCCCCGCCAAAGAGAGAAACTCCCCGAACAGAAAAGAACTGAGCCCATTCCAGCCACCGATGCTTTCCTGACGGTCGGGAAGAAGGGGAAAGCTCTCTTCAACCACTGGACCCTACAAATGGCCCGGTCATCTCGTGAAACTTGCTACCACCCCCCACCAGACTTTGACGCTTCTGTGCTATCCCACGGCTTGGCTGATCGGAAAAGCGGAAGCTTTAAAATGTTGATGTTGTAGAGAGCATCGCGACGGTTGTTGCTGTCAAGAAATTGAATAGAAGTGCTACTCTTCAAACACCAACCCCCCATTGCCTACTATGTCCTTTAAGATCAAGATTGTCTATCAATTGACCAATCTTGCAGGACGGGGAAATAACATAATGGCCTAAACGAGCAACTCGAAAGGAGTCGTTGTCTCTAACATCTACCTCCAGCTTCTGCAAGAGCGGAGCAATCGTGCAGAGGTCGAGAGGACAACACAATGGCTGCAAGTATCAAGAAACCTGCTGATGAAACTGTTGCAAAAAACGGCAATGGAAAGACGAGGCACCAGAGTGAACCTTGATCTGATAGTTTGTTGATTGTATGCCTGTTTGTTTATTCTTTTGTAGAATTGTTTGGCTTAAGTATAGAGAGCAAATCACTACATGCAATATAATTTCTTAGCTACAAAAAAAAAAAAAAAAGTAAGACACTGAGGTAAATTAGGTCGTCATTGTAGCCTTTTTGTTGCTGCGGACGCGCCTTGCTATCTTGTATTGTCTACTCGAGTGTCTGGAAGGTATTTTTCTAAATATGTGCTTGCTATCATGCGAAGAATTTTCTATTTATTGTCTTGGCTCTCCCTAAACTGTGTTTGACATTTCAACACAAGGTTAACATCTCAGTTATAGTATTCTAAAATCACTGACTGATTAGATTAGATCAAACAGAAACACAGAATGTTTCCAAGACCATTATTCGAATTTTTCGGCGGTAAACTTTTGCACAATTCATAGCCATGGAATCCAATTGAATGAAATCCATTAGATCACGAGAGAAGAGCACATGTTTTCGAGAACCGGTGACAAGGGATTTTCTGCGAATATTTACAGATGTAATCTAAAGCGTAGTGACAAAACACATAGGTGTCCCTGACGAATGTGGAGATCCTTCCTCACTCATCTCTGAATCCAATACAAATTGTTAACAACTCGCAATGTCATATCACATACATATAATGAAACTACCTTAAGCTGTGTAGATGGGGCTGTGGATGAAGATCACACTAGCTTTCTTCATTAGAATCTTCAAGAAGTTCAACATAACTTGTGGAGAGATGCGATCCTGTAAGACTGTGCAGCAGTTCTGCAACTGAGTCTTTCCTCTACATGGCGGTGTTGCTGCTTGCGGCCAGAAACATTGCTTGACTCACCCTCGTGATGCACCAAAACCTTGTCAACCTTGTTTTCAACCTCGCTGAGGGATCCTAGTTTGGTTTCATCTAACTTTGTGACACCATTTATTTCAATACCTATCTACTCTTGTCCTGCAAGTTTTGTGTTGCTGCAGAATCTTTCTGCAGAAGGCATCAAAGCGAATTGACCCTTGACATTATGGACTTCTCATCAAGGTTGATGTAATTGATGTCACTAAACAGTATTGGGAATCTCCTCCAGAACGTCTCTTCCTTGTATCATTGCCAAAATCAGGAACCACCAGTTGTCCTCTGTTCCGCAATGCCATGCCCAATTGTATTCACCGATCACTCATAGACATAGATGGGTGGAGTCCAGGACTTGGATCTGGTCCCAATGGCTGAGCATCTTTGGTTCCTCGCTCACTGCTACTGATTTCTCCATTGCACAAGTATCCATCACTGCAAAAAGATACAACTTAAGACCATAATAGTTTCAAGATAAATTATCATAGAAGTTAATCCCTAAAAATACAATAGCAAACAGCGATATGACGATACATCATACATGCTATCAAAGATCAATCCCAGGAACTAATTAGTAGGACAAATATACTGAGGATGAGTCAACCAGAGTGAAGGCATCTTTTCAGTCCGCAACAAGAAGAACATGTCCAAGATACTGATGAGAGCTTGATGTGACAAGCTAAACATAGACCATAGTATTTGACTATGGGAAATTATCATATAAAAAACAGAGATTCCAACTTGAAAATATACTTTGGTATTTGTTATCATTATTTCAGCATATTTTGCAATTTCAGGATCAATTGCCTACCTGAGCTAGTGATCGATTCATGAAATCTTTGTGGTTCAACATTAGAAATGATGACTGACACCGATGGTGATGCCCCATCGCACAATCAAATAAACACGGTCGTTCCTCCTCTTTAATGGCTGGAAACATCTGGTTCATCAAAGGCTGGAGCTCTAGTTCAAATATGGAGAATCTACTACAATTTCTGCTGTTTGACTCAGGAAATTGAGACAGTGATCCTTGTATGAGCTTTTCAAAGTGCTTCGCAAGAAAGCTTGTGGGCACATCAGAATGCTGCCTATTTAAGTAAAACAGTGTCATTGCCACATGTTAAAAATTAATTCAAAATAAAGTTGATTAATAAGAGATGGCAAAAGCATATACACTTGACTCGAAACTCATATCTCTACCTGGTGAATGCTTGCTTGTCCACCGTAAAATCTGATGTTGCCTGCCAAAAGTAATGCTTCCGGGTTGTGGATTTGTCTCCCTAAAGAAAAGAGGCTGTCTAGCCAGCTGCATCAAACAAGAACATCTTCAATCATTACTAACTAAACTAAACTAAATGCTTTTCAGCTTGTGCATGACCAAAAAGATGACAAAAAATCTTACTCATTATCTTGTACACCTCACTTATTTAAGCATTAAACTTGTATTTCTTCTACTAAACGAAGTCACCATAAGGAACCAGAAGGATAATATATGAACATATAATGGGAACATCCTTAAGTGCCCTGTAATTCTTCCTCTTAAGTCTCATAAATAACTTCAAAAAGAGGAAAACAACACAACAGGTAACTCTTTTAGGCAAGTTTCAGTTCTACAAATTCTCAAAAAAGTTTTACACATGTGAAAGGCAAATTCAGAAAAAAAAACCTAATATTTTAGAACTGACTTCCGATGAATTCCGAAATTAATAAGACTTACACCATTATAGTTATAGTGAGAATTTCGAGAAATATTCCCCTTTTTGTACACAAAATTATCAGTGTGAGTGCATATGCATATAAATACAGCCAAAAGGCATAAAACAACAACAGAAACAAAGTAAAATTACCACGACATCCAAAGTCTCAGGTCCATCATCAGAATAAGTTGCCTTGATCGCCACGATATCTGACCACTGAATTTCAATCTTGTTCTTCAAACCGCCATCAAGCACTTCCCACACTAGCTTATGCTTCGCAAAGTAACATTTCCCCACCAAGTCTCCCTCGTATCTCGACTTATACTGCACAAACCAACATTCAATCGCAAATTTCAACCATCTAAATTAGCTACTGATAATTAATGATCCCCTAGAAGTCCTTAAAATCATTATCACCCAAATACTTTCAAAAACTATAAATTAAAATAAAAAATAAACCTGAAACGTTACTTTTATTAGTTTATTCAATTATACCTCCCAAGTTCCGATCCTGAGAAGCGAAGCTGGAAAATTAGAAGCTTTTAGCTTATCATTCGAAGCTGAAACGACACTTCCTTTAGACTTTCGCTTCCTCAAATTTGCGTTTTCTTCCGAAAGCTTCATTTGAATCAAATCCAAAAACGACGGACTCTTCTTAAGATTTAACCCCAACGGACTCGGCTCTTCGAGTGGATTGCACATGGAAGGTGGAAGCGGAAACGGCGACGTGTTAAACTCACATTCCTGAATATAAAAATAAATCAAATTGAATTCCAAATCAAAACATAAAATTTTGAAATTAAAAATTATAAAAGCAAAATAAGGAATTACTTGTTTGAGTTTGGATCGTTTGTGAAGCGGACCGAGCTGGTCCGCCAACGAGTCGTCGAGCTCTAACTTCACAGCAGCCGATTTTTTCGCCGAATTCATCGACTGAACCATTTCAATTAATCGCCGATATTAATTTTTTTTGGTCAATTATCCGAACAGAATATGAAAATTCTTTCTCTAAAGCTTTTGCCTCTTCAGTGAGAAAGTTTTGTTTGTTTTAAACAAGTGGGAGGGGACGCACGTGCCTAACGGAATTGCCACGTGTTCTGTCTTGAACATGAAGAGAAGCTTCGCTGTACTGTGGGAAGGTGAATTTACGATAATATTATTTGTCTTATTTGATGATTGCGCACGGTGAGGGGCGTTTATGTCTTTTGAGGGATGATAAGGATGATGACGTGGGAGTAGAGGTGTCACGTGAGGGCACGTGAAAAAGATTTTGGATAAAGTGTGGGACCCGGTTCGCGAAGAGTCTGAGGCGGGTGGATTTGTCGTGTTGTACGGGGAAGTGGCGTGATTGGTTGAGAAGCGACACGTGGACGGACGCGGTGAGATTGGGAGAGGCGTAGGATAGTTAAGTGGAATGAGCAGATGCGTTTGTGGATAATGTTTAGAAATGGGATTCCGCCGTCCTTCGTTGACCGACTTTAGAGAATAGTTTTGGTGCGTCGGATGTACGTGCATTCGGTTCGATACGTTGATTTTAGATTTTATTCTTTAATATCAAAAGATGGATAAGATTAGACAAGCTCAATGATTACATTAGTAATAATAAAATATAAGGGATATTTGCACAAAACGCCGTCGTAGATACCTCAACCCTCGTTCTGTTAAATTATGTTAATGAAAATCCGTTATATTCTGAAATGACCTTTTTGCCTTTGTTCAAGCTGTTGAAAAATGACAGATTTTCCCACGAGAAAAATTTTATGACACCCCCATCTTTCAAAAGTTGGTCGTCAGTAACTCCAATAGCTTTGCGAAGCCTCTGGAGGCCTTCGACTTTAGGCCTCACGAGAGCCACCAAACCCATTGATGCTACACAATGTCGTCGATTGAGGCCAAATAAGGCCTTGCTTAGCAAATTGATGGTAGATCCAGCCTTTACTAGTCTCTCGGCGTTATTAGAGGTTAGATCCGGTCTCTAGGTGGTCAATAGAGGCAAGATCAAAGCTCTAGGCTTGCCGTTGAGGTTGTTAATAAGCAGGGATTTTATGAAAATCCTGGAAACTCAAGAATACCCTTCCTTAAAGGTGAAATTATCAAGTTTATTTAACCTTCAGGTAACTTTAACAAAAAATGTTAATTAAAAGGAGGGTTAAGGCCACATTTCTAACGAGAAAATTTAACTCTCTAGACATCCCAAGTTTAGATTTTAAAAAATAACCCTGAAAATCGAAAGTTGTTTTTTTTTTAAATTTAAAAATCTGACATGGCACACTTAATTGTAACTAAGCATGCAAAAAGTGGCTAGAGTGAAAAGATTGAAACGTATATGGGTAATAGTTAATTAATGAAAATTTGTTTAAATTCTGAAAATTAAAAAATGACCCCCTCCCTTCAAAATCGCTTAATCGAGCAATATATCCAAAAAACGACCGACAAAACACCTTCCATTTCTCTGTGATTTTCGGCGATAAAAGTTTCCTATTTTTGGTCAATATTTGATCCTAAAGCTTCGTTACAAAAAAATTATAGCTGATATTCACAAAGAGGAGGAAAACCCAATCCCACTCCAAATCCTAGAGTCTGGCAGCAGTGATGGTTGTCAAAGAAGACGCCCTAGTAGATCATCCGATGAGTGAAGGTGGTCCGATGAGGAGACAACAGCAGCACAAGAATAGAGAGGAAAATAAAAAAATGGTTCTGAAGAGGAGGATGCCGACAAGAATTCAGGTGAGGAGGAGGACGCTGGTGAAGAAAATGTACGTTTTTTACTGGTGGTTTTGAATTTGATGAAAAAATTGATTGGTTTGTGCAAATTTGAGAGATATGTAGCTGGTTTTTATTATTATGGTGGTTGTGGCGTTTTTCGAGCAGTTCGCAAATATTGGGGGAGTGGCTTTGTTTGGGTTCCAGAGGATGGGGGAAGGCAAGGGAGGTCGTAGGGAGGTTGTTTGTAGGAGGTTAGAGGGTTGGGGATGGCAGGAGGGGGCAGAATAGGGGGTTGAAGGGCTATCCTGCATATTGTAGGGCTAGCCACGCATAGCTGCATGCGCACAACTGAGCGTGCATAGTTGCCTGTGGCCAGCCCTACAGTATGCAAGGCAGTCCCCAACCTCCCATATTCCACCCCCTCCTGCCATCCTTAGCCACCTCCAATCATGAAACCTGCCAATGCAGGCCCTACACCTGCCACAACAGCCTCTGTAGGGCCTGCATTGGCTTCCCCGATCCTCTCGAAGCCAAAAAAAACCCACTGCCCGATGGCCTCAAAGCCCATATCCTCCAAATTGGTAGTCTATTGGTTGTTTTGGTTTTTTTTTTTTTTTTTTTTTTTTTTTTTTTTTTGCGCAGATTTTCTGAAGCATAAATTATAAAATTATGAGTTGAAGGTTATAAGCTATAAGATACCGTACTTCCCCGTAAAGTGACAATTAGGTCAAGTTGGCAAGTTTTTATAGAATAATGGTATTTTAGAGAAACAAATGAACGGTATGGCCGATTCAAAGATAGTTGTTTTGATCATTTTGCGAACAGAGAGGAAAATTGGAGCAGGTCTTTTAGGGGTAGGGAGTGCATTATATGTTGCTGCACTCAGTTAAAGCCGAAAAAATGAATGTGGTTCGTGGTGGTGGGAAGCCACAACGTTTTGGGATGATGGAATTTGCCATGATGTCAGGCTTAAGATGTGGGTATTTCCAGATACGGAAGAGCAGGAGAATAACGACGAGTAGGGCAGCCGATAACTTGGCTAATTTTTTTTTTTTTTTTTTTTGGGGGGGGGGGGGTGGGGGGGGGGGGGGGGGGGGGGGGAGGGGGGAGGAGTCTATTACGGGATGTGATTTAGAGGAGAGGTTAGGAGAAGATGGGTATACCTCTTCGAAGAAGTTCAAAATATGCCTAGTATGGTTCGTGCATACGATCCTAATGGCTTTTGACTCAACAAAAGTCATTAAGATGGATTGAGTGAAGTTTGCAAGCAACATGAAGTTCTTTAATGCTTATCCGTGGGGACGGTTATCATTTCAGCTAACCATTGAGTCTTACGCAGAAAAGACATGGCGATAAAGCATCGCCAAGCTGTCGAGAAGGATAAAACGAGCACGTACAATTTGTTTGGCTTCCTATGGGCAATACAAGTAAATATTAATAGTTTTTTGTTCTATTTTTTGTATTATATGTGTTTTAATTATGATATGAACTGTTTTTTTACAATGTAGGCTTGGATGTATAAGGCCGTCCCTTTCCAGGCTAAGGCAGGGGTAAAAGAAGACTTTGAATGAGAGACCGTAATTTCCTAGAATGTTCCGGTGGCACATCGAGAAGTGTGCTCATTAGGACTATGACAAAATATAAATGGAAAGTCAAGCGGCTCAGGTAAGATTAAAGGATTAATCTTTTGAATATGCATTTACTTTAAAATGTGGCTTAAATTTGATTGATTTTTTTTTCTTATTGTAGGGAGTCGTCCGTCCTCTCCTCACTCGTAATAGGGGTGAAGTGGGAGAGGAGTATGTTACATCGTTCACAACACTAGACGATGTAGCAGATGAGGGGATAGACCACCTAATACAAGACCTAGAAAGGGTCACGCATGTTAGTGCAGCTGAAGGGCCACTACTTGACAATGTGTTATAAGCCGAGGAGGATGAAGCTCCAATCTGCAGGAGGTGAGAGGAGGATGAAGAGGTTCGTACGCCTCCACCCAATTGGCAAACCGGTACAACAATAACCGATATGTCAAGGCATCGGGGTCAGGAGAATGCGGTGGTTGACCTCATAAACGGTCTCTTTGACAATTTTACAACAGCCGTGCATAAGAGGTTTGAGAAGATGGAAGAGTAGATGAAAAGGGTGGAGGAGAAAGTTGATAGGGTGAAGGAGGAAATTGGTGGGGTATTGAAAGTGGTTGAAGTGTAACCTAAGCATAAATGAGAGAGCCGAAAGAGTAAGCACATAAAATCTCCTTACACAGCAGTTTTGTATGGAAAGAAGAGGAAAACAAAAAAAAAAAAAAAAATGAAAAAGTCCGTGAAAGTGGAGAAGCAAAAATGGAGGAGGGTAAGAAGGATGGCGGAGGAAGTGGGAAAGTTAAAATGGAGGAGGGTGAGGGGAGACGTGAAGGAAGTGGGGCAGTGAAAATGAATGAGGGGGAGGAGAAAGACGGAGGAAGTGGGCAAGTGAAAACAGGGGAGTTAAAGGTCAATTTTGTTAGAGTGGATGCCCTAGAGCCAATCAATTACTGTAAGATTGACTATATAATAAATGTTTATTTATCAATAAAAGGCATATTCTTTTATATAGTCTAAATCATAGTTATATGTAATGATATATGTCCTTAGGATGGTAGAACCGTGACGGGGGTATCAAGTGTTTCAAATCTTGATAGTGAGAACCCTATGATCATATATGGTGGCCATTCTAGAAATATTCGTAGCCCTAGTATTATTTTGACCAAGGACAGAAATGATATGGTAAGGCTATCAAAGCGTTGAACAACCCTGCCGAAAGGCAATGACTGATCTTACTTATTAAGGTTGTTTGCCGACAACCTAGTACAATGCATGGGTGCTTGCTAGAGGCAAGTACACTAGACAGACCCACCAGACAATTCCATATGGATGGTAACCCTAGTGTCTATGGAATAAATCCTCTAACAAATGGTGGTGCATGTGATCCTTAGACTTGAGATCACCGGAGTGCCTTGTGCACCAATTGGTGTAGTTTGACACTAGCCCAACGTAGTTCTATTCAGAGTCATCAATACGGTAGTGATTGGCTAGATTGAGAAGTGTATCGAGACTATGGTGGGTCGACAAAGGATTCATCACTCTTGGGTACGGGAGAAGTTATCTCACTAGGTAATTTAGTAAATGGCAATGACACTGAATCTATGGCCACAATGGGATTGAGTTGATGCTCAATCCAATTTATTATTCCGGTCCTTGGTCCATTAACTGAATACAAACATGTCGAGGATATCGGAGGTTGACACTATTTCTGTACCTTAGTCTCGATGAGATAACAGATGATGAAA